CACACACACGCACACACATCCTTTTGATTCCACTTCTTTGGAGAACCCTGACTATGTATGTGCATATCTACAGACGACCCTCAATTCACCTCAGTTTGACTTACAATTCTTCAGCCTTCCATTGGTGCAAAAGCAGTTCTTTCAATAGAAATCAGATTTCAAATTTTAAATTTTGACCGACTCCTGGGACAGAAGTGTCATTGCTAAGCTGTGGTGTTGAGTAGGTTAGATGTAGTAAATGCGTTTGGACTTAGATGTTTTCACCTTGGATGTGTTTGTTGGGATATAACCCCACTGTAAGTTGAGGAGCACCTGTATATATATGCAGCACATTCTATAAGAGAAATATGGAACTGAGCATGGTGGTGCACACCTGTAATCCCAGCACTCAGGAGGCTGAGGCAGGAGCACGGCTGTGAGTTCAAGGCCAGCCTGAGCTACACAGCAGGCCATATCTCAAAAACAAAAAAATTGGTAGATAGACAGATAGATGGATGGATGGATAGCACAAGAAATCGGCACCCGACCATAGAGGCTAACACGTCCCAAGATCTGCAGCAGGCACCCTGGAGGCCCAAGGAGCTGGGGGTCCAGGCTGTCCAAAGCCCTGAGCCCCAGGAGGGCAGTTAAGTTCCAGTCTGAGTCCTAAGCTCTGAGAACCAGGCGGGCTGGTGGTACACATTCTAATCACAGGACAAGACAGGACCAATGTCCCAGCTCAAAAGTGAGCAAGGGATGCTTCTTATTCAGCTTCTTTTCCTAGTCAGGTCTTCAGCCAGTTGGACGGGCCACCCACACGAGTGAAGGCAATCAAGATGCAACTCCCAGACACACCCTGATGTTCTGGCAAAACACCTGGGCACCCCATGGCCCAGTCAAGTTGACAAATAAAAACTGGACATTAGGGAGAGAACAAGACGACTGTAAAAGTGCCAAGAATCAAGATTTCTCAACCATGAAGACAATGTTTGTCTTTTACGCTACATTTTTTAGAATTGCCGCACGTTTTGCAGCTCCACCGTCAAGTCCATCTCTGCACTGGTTGTACTGGGTTTGGCCGCACAACTTGCTCTGGCCGAGGGGAACTAACAAATGAGATTCAAACAGAAGGTGAAAAACTGCTTCTCTTGCTGCTTTTGCAACCGAGCCTCCACGTGATGTAGTCCGGGCCACACGCTGGAAATACACGGCCCACACGGCCAGAAGTTGCGGCTGTTCACCAGGTACGCGCTTGACATCGCTGGTCATCCAGCAAGCCCAGATTAGAAAAAAACACTGAGCCATCCACAGAATCTTCAGAGAAAAATTACAAGGTGTTCTTTTTAAGCCAGTAATTTTCTTGGATGGTGCCTTATACAACAGGAAATGGATGCATAAGCTGGTATCAGAAGGGAGGTGTGGCTGCAGATGTAGGCACTGCGAGGAAGCAGAAGCTGGCCGTGTGGGGAGGAAGCTGTCAAAGGCTGCAGAAATGCAGAGAGACAGAAACCCTGGAGGAAACCACCATGGCGGGAGAAATGGTGACCTGCATTCTGCAGTAGCGAAATAATTGCCTGAAGGTTGCCTAGAGTAACCTGGAAAACATGAAATAATAAACCGAGCCTAGCCAAGGAGATGTCGAGAGATGTGCTCAAAGAGGAAGCGAGACACTGGCAGCTGCAGCAGAGAGGTGAGGAGAGATAGCACGGTTGTATATGCAAGTGGAATTTAAAAGAAACTCAGAGGGCCTGGGATTGCAGGGATGCAAAATAAAACCATTTCACATTTTAGTCTCTCCAGAGGACCCAAGAGTCTCCAAGTAAGAAGTAGCCTTGGGATAAAGAACAAATCAGGACACGGCTGTAAAATGTGTGTGTGAAGGCTTCTGAAATATTTAATTTAAGGTGATGCCTAGTGAAACATGTCAGTGAGACTGAAGGGCCCCGAGACCCTCAGGTGCAGTCCTGCAGGAGCCCGGCCGCGAGTGTCAGAGAAGCAGCCTGTCTTGCAGAGACCATTGGGCAGCTTTTGTCCAATGGAGAGGATGACAGACCCATACCAACTTTCCAAGAGAGTTGCGTCTGCAAGAACAGAGAGTGAGAGAATTCAGAATGAAGAGGGCCTCTGGGGTCTGGAGTTCTGAGGGGTGGGAAGCAGTCTGGAAGCCTGTGAGCTCTAGACGAGGCTGTTTCTTAGAGGAAGGAGCACGGGAGGGCTCCGCCTCGCAAGCACGGACTGAGCGCTGAAGCCAGCAGCTCCTCCCACTGGGCGCCCCGTGCCTTCTCCCCTCGCCCCAGCTGGACCCTGGGCTCCTGCTCCCCCTGCACATAGCTATTGTGTGTCCTCGAGTCAGTGCCTGTCCTCATGGGCCTCTGTTTTGTCACCACTAGCAAGTCTCAAAGTTTATAAGAAAGTCTGGCTGGGTGTAGTGGTGCACATCTGTAATCCCAGCAATCTGGGAAGCTGAAACAGGAGGACCTCAAGTTCAACCCCAGTCTGGGCAACTTAGCAAATTGGTAAGATCCTGTCTCAAAATAAGAAATTAAAAGGGTGGCTTAGTATAAAGGCACTGGGTTCAATCTGTAGTACAGAAAGAGAGAGAGAGGCAAGGGAGGGCAGGAAGCGAAGGGCGGATCGGGGGAGAGGGTGAAGGAAATATGTAAAATAATGGAGTCGTCTCTGCCCACTCTGCTGGTGGAGAATGAGACATAAACAAAGGAGGGGAACTGTGTCGCCAAGAGGAGACGCTGCGTGACCTGAGGCCTGGTCCGGCCAGTGGGCAGGAGACCTGTGGCTGTGAGTGAAGCCACAGGCCGGGCTGGCGTCCGACACCGTGACATGCGCCTCCTTGACCCAAGGCCAGGTTCAGCAGCAGAGGAAGTGTCCTGTGCCGACTGGGAAATTCCACTATGGAGCAGCCGGAGGTTTCTTTCCAGTTCATGGAAAGTCGGACTGGTGAAGGCCACAGGGATGAGCGCTCTGCATTGCAGGAGCTTTCCGGGACCCAGGATCCCGCCGGTGCTGCCACATTCACCGTGTGGCTTCCAAGGTCCCCGGGGCCTGAGCCCAGCCAGCAGGCGGAGAAAGGAAGTGACCACGGGCCGGGGTGAGTGAGCGCTGCGTCTCCTGCGTTGGAGAGGCCAGGGCTCAGCACCTGCCCAGGTCACTGCCAGGAGCCCAGGTAGGGGAGCAGGGCTGTGGCGGGGATGGCAGCTGGAGGTCTGATGCCAGCCGGAGGAGTGTGTTTCAGCTACTGTGCTTATGACATGCAGCGTGCCAAAAGGTCAGTCAGTGTCCGCATCTTAAAATGTGCTGCAGTAAAAGACACATTGCCATTAACCCCCCTCAAAACCCGCTCCCCACAATGAGCACACTTGTCCCTCGTCCTGGCCGCTTCCTGCAGCAGCTCTGGAGCCCTCTCTCCTGAGGGTCTTTTGTTTCACTGTTCCACCTGCCTCCATGTCCTGAATCTATTCAAAACACTTCCCTTCATGGTCATTTTGTCTTGGGGAACAGGTGGAAGTTGCACAGTGGCAGATCCAGTGAATAAAGTGGATGAGGTCACAGCGTCATGGTTTGCGAGCAGCCTTTCTGCTGGACGGCACTCGGCAGCAGCAGTCGCCATATTGTCGATCACACTTTGTAAAATGTTTTTTTTTTTTTTTTGCACCGGGGTTTGAACTCCGGACCTTGTGCTTGCAAGGCAGGCAGAGGAACCACTAAGCTAAATCCCCAGCTATAAAAATACATCTTATTGGTTATCTCATGATACAAAGCTCAAAGTGGGAAGAGGATGGAAACAAATAGCTAGAAGCATGGAATATGGATTTGTTTTATTTTTGAAAACACAATGGTATCAATACTCTTGTATTATTTGGACTAAAGGGCCAGGCGTGGTGGCACATGCTTGTAATCCCAGCATTCAGAAGGCTGAGGCTGGAGGATTGCCCCAAGTTCGAGGCCAGCCTGGGCTCCATAGTGAGTTCAAGGCCAGCCTGAACTACACAGCAAGACCCTGTCTCAGATAATAATAAGAAGAAGAAGGGGCTGGGGATTTAGCTCAGTGGTTTCGCTGCCTGCTGCACAAGCGCAAGGACTTGAGTTCGATGCCCGGTACCTAAAAAAAAAAAATAATAAAGAAGAAGAGGAAGAAGGAGGAGGAGGAGGAGGAAGAGGAGGAGGAAGAGGAGGGGGAGAAGGAAGAAGAACAGGAGAATCCTTCCCAATACTTAGTTGGATGCTGGGATTTCAAGTCATGATATACCCTTCCAGGAGGGAGACCTTCCAGGACTTCCATCTCCAGTAGATGCCAGAAACTCTAGATGACCCTGTGGGCAGGAGATTTAGCTCAGTGACACCGCGCCTGCCTCGCAAGCTCAAGGTTCTGAGTTTGGTCCCCTGTACCGAAAAAAAAAGAAAGACCAGTCTAGATGAGACTAAACCCTCTATTTCTAACATATACCTGTCTGTGATAAAAGTTTTATTTATAAATCAGGCACAGCAAGTGATGAGTAGCAATAACTAAAGAGAAAGCAGAAGAGTCCTAGCAATAAACTGGAGTAAGTTATGCGCCATGTTCTCCCTCTTCTTCCTGCGACTTGAGGTCACAGGAAGGGTGTGATCTTCCCCTGTCGTTGGATCTGAACTCCCAGTGTTCCTGCCCTCACCTTGGGGCCATGGTCAGAAAGACAAGGTTCCCGGGCCACTAGCACAGGACCCGATGGCCCTGAGGGCCACTGAGTCCCTAACGGCAGGTGGCGGGCACCGCGTGCATACAATGGACAAGGGGACAACTCGGCCAGGTGAGGGACTGAGTGAGGAATGCCATCCTCCATGCAGAAGGGCGCATGGCATAAAGCTCACAAAGCATTTGTGCCTGGAGCTTCCATTTCCTGTTTTCAGAGTAGGGTGGACCTCAGGTAACCAGTTATGGAGAGGAGCCACAGTAAGGGCGAAACACCACAATGATACTGAGGTCCTGATTTCACCACCTCATGGCAGTTCGACTTTCTTCACTACAGAGCTGTGACCAGGGTCCAGTGACATCGTGCAGAGGAAAGCCACGGTGGGGACTGGAAGGCTCTCCTGGGCCCGTGACATGATGTTGCATCTCTATTCTGCGTTCTTTTACTTCCGGGTGTGATGTGAATCTTGAGACCCTCTGCTGGGCACAGGGATGCAGAGGTGGGTGAGGAGCTCACAGTCTCTGTGGGACAGAGGGGGAGGGAGCCGCATTTCCAGGCAAGGATGGGGCCAGGGGGCTTCCCCACCCTGTGTGGTTCACACTCGGCCAGCCCAGGACCCCACCGACCCTAGCCGGCTCAATCCTATTTCCCTCCCCAGACTTGGAATTGGGTTGTAAGCGCTGGGGCTGGGAAGCCCTGCAAACTAGGTAACACGGCAAGCATTTGCGGGTAGGAGGGCTGCCGTTCTGAGGTTTGTATCTTTTTTGGTTGGAGGGTTGAGACAGGTCTTGCTGGCCTTGAACTTACTGGGTATCCCAGGCTGGCCTTGAATTTTCTGATCTTCCTGCCTCCCTGCTAAATGCTGAGATTACCGGCGTGTGCCACCACGCCCAGCTCTGAAGTTTGTTGTGTTAATGAGCGAGCAGAGAGATGGTGTTTGCAGACAGAAATAAGAGACAGGCAAACACTAGCAAGGGCCAGGCAAAGGAAGCAGGGGAGAGAGGGTTCTCCTTGGGTCTCGTTTTAATTAAGGCTGAAATGCACCCTACTCTTGGGTGAGAGGGAGGTGCTCCTGGAGTCCCTAATCCATCCCCCCACGGCCCTAAAATGATCTTAACTGGGTTTCTCCTCCTCAGTACCAGCAAGGCCAGAGTGAAACAAGCTAACTGCACAGAACCTCACAGGAACTGAGAGGAGCCCTGGAGCCCGAGTCCCTAGTCTGCTGATGAGCACACCAGGCCCACGCCAAGGTGAAGGCACCCCAAGTCCCCGCTGGGAAGTGCAGCGCCAGGGCTCAACCCCCTCCTGCACCCGGACCAGTGCCCAGAAACCCAGGAGGAGCTCAGGCACCGAGTTCCTTTCTCCTCTGCGCCTCAGATCTACACTGGGCCCTCCCTCCAGGACCCCCTCACAATGCTGTTTGCGATTCTTTTCTGCTTCGCTCCTCACCCCAGCTCCCCCTTAGCGAACAGCCAGTCCCACCACCCCTCACTCCCTGGGGAGTCACAAGGAAGAAGGTCCTAGTCTTCGCTGGGGCCAAATCTTTCCTTTCCTTTCTGATCTGTAGCTAACTCTTTTATTTACATCATAGAAGATTGGAAAACACATTGAACACAAGTTTTTATGATGCCACCATCAAGTAATAACCTTTCTTCTTTTTTTTTTGGTACTGGGGATCAAACTCAGGACTTTGTGCTTTTGAGGCAGGCGCAGCACCAGTAAGCTAAATCCCCAGCCTGAGTAATAACTATTTTTAATGCATTAACACAGTATTTCCACATAAGTATCTCTTTCCCTCATTTCATATTGTGCATAGGTATATATTGTATTTTTCAGTTTTAATGCAGTATAATTAAGATCAAATCATATATATGTAAGGCATGCAATGTGATGTGTTGATATATATGTATAATGAAATGATCGCCACAATAAATCGAGTGAACTCACCATCACCTGCTGTAGCTACCATTACTTGTTGGGGGAGAACTCTTAAGATCTGCTCCCTTAGCAAATCCCAAGTGTACAGTGTCACTGTTAAGCACAGTCACCACGACACCTTAGGTCTCCAGCACTGATCCGTCTGTGCCCATGGACTGGTCCCCATGTCCCTGCCCCCCTACCTGTGGGGACCATGCCGCACCCTGCTCCGTGAGCTCAGCACTTTTAGATTCCACGTGTGAGTGGGGTCATGCAGTGTTGGCCTTTCTCTATCTGGTTTACTCCACTTAGTATAATATTCTGTTGGCTTCTGCATGTTGTCACAAATGGCAGGATTTCCTTCTTTTTTAGGGTGGATAATTTTCCATTGTGTGCAGAAATATATGTGGGTGGAGGAGAGCTGCTCACCTCATGGCGCACCGCACCAGGAGCAGAGAGGGGAGAAGCCAGGGAGGGGGATGAACCCTTCCAGGCCCCGCCCCAGTGACCACCTCTTCCGTGGCGCTGTCCTCTGACAGCACAGTTAGCTATAAACTCACCAGGGGACTTAGCAGGGGCTGTGCGGGACCGCCCCCCCCCATACCTAGCTGAGGGTTTGGCAAGTTTAAGAATCAGACAAGACAAAGATTTGACTGCTTAAACAGGGGTCCAGGACGTAAGAGCTCTTACCAGGCTAAGACCATGACTTGCCACTATTATTGATCGCACAGCATTACAGGGAGCATAAAGGCAGATTCAGAGAACAGCAGGGCTAAGGCACTGATGTGAGCTAAGCTTGTAAAAGGAGGAGCAATGCATTCCTGCAAAGGACAGGTCATGATTAACGAGTGACCTGTTTGTTTTCTTAGCTAATGCTTCTTCTGAGCGAATGGCTGCACACAAGTCATCAGTCTCAGCTGCAGTGTCATCTCGCTATCAGAGGCAGTGTCACCACCGGGCTCTCAACTGTGACCGTGGGCATAGGGAGCTCTGTTTCTGCATGCCAGCCAAAGGCTCATCCAGCAAGTCACGTAAGCCAGGAGTCTCACAGTTTAATCAATAGCTAATTCATGAGCCAATTCAATAATATTTTATAACCTGTTCAGCGCGATTTCAAGCTGATCTCGGGCAAGGACTAATCCGCCTATAAGTTTAGCACCCATGACCCAAGATCCAGTCGCCTGCTCTAAGCCCATGAGGCCTCGGAGGATGTCTAGACATAAACCACGATGGTGCAGATCCATTTTTTCTATCCATGCTGCCATCAGTAGACACTGAGGTTGCAATGAATGTGGACATGCATATATCTCTCCAGGATAGGGCTTCTTATGTCCTTTGTAGGTAAACGTGGTAGGGATTGTGGGATCCTATGGCATTTCTATGTTTAATTTTTGGAGAAATTTTTATACTGGATTCCATAATGGCTAAAAAAATATGCATTCCAGCCCACAGTGTATAAATGTTCCCATTTCTCCACATCCTCGTCAACACTGTTATCTTTTGACTTTAGTAACAGCTAGGCCAATGGGTGCGAGATTAAATTGCATTGTGTGGTTCTGATTTGCATTTCCTGGATGATTAGGGATATTGAACACTGTTCTGTTTATCTCTTGGCCTTTGTATATCTTCTCAGGAAAAATGTCTGTTCTGGTTCTTTGTCCACTTTAGAATCAGTGCTTTGTTTTGTTTTCCGGGTGCTTTTTCTATTTAGTTGTACAATTTCCTTATATGTTTGGGGTACTAGTCCTTAATCAGCTTCCAAACATTTCCCCTTGTTCCATATGTTGCCTTATTATTTAGTTGTTTCTTTTGTTGTGTAGAAACTCTTTAGTTCAATGGATAGGGTCAAATCCTGACTCTGCCTTTTATGAAACTATTTGATATGGGGACTAAAACTGGTTTGTTATGATGATAGTAATTATTTACTAAGCATTTGCTTTATGCTTTGTGCTTAGTATGTTGCTTATTTAATATTTACATCTCCAGGAAATAAGAGTGGTTATTCCATGTTCGCAGAAGAACTGAGGTGTAGAGATGCGCCGTAGATACTTCATCACACACTTAGGAAGAAGGGGACTGTGGTGAACACTGCCAAGTCTGAAACTGCTACTTGGGTTTTGGGGCTACTGCCTACTTGCGAAGGGGTGCTTGGGAACTTGACTTACATCCAAGTTTGCTTAACAAAAAAATTACATTAAGTAGAATATGTTGCAGATTAATGAAAATAGCAAGATCTGCAGATGTTTGGATTCGCTTTTGTAGAAGATTGAGAAATATTGAGTGCCCATATGAGAACCTGAGGGCACCCAATGTGGTGGGTGGTGCTGGGGTGCTGGCGAGCAGGACCCAGACCTGGCAGAAGTGCGGCTGTGACCTCCTGGGTCTGCATGGGGTGGCACAGGGGCTCCCCGAGACTGCGGAGATGCACAGGCAGGAGCTTCTGTTCCCAGAGAACAGGAGCAGACACGTGTGTGAAGGTCTGCACATGCTTCCTGCAGAACCAGTACAGGGAAAAATCATAAAGTGGGCTGAAATATTTCATCTGTGATTAATCACCAGGGAAAAAAAGAAACAAATTCTCCCAAATAATTAGACCAAGTTAATGGGCCTGGCAGAGCCGCAGTCTCTGGGCTTCATCTGTTAATTATAAATGGAGCCACAGGAGCCCATGGGGCTGGAGCTGGGGCTGAAGAAAAGCCTCCATGTTTACATTTTCTGCTTTAATATTCAGCAAAAAAAAAAAAAAATCTAAATCCACGAGCATCATCAGATGGGATCCCTCGGAGTCTTTATAGACTCTTAGCACTTGTTTGTATTTCCCGTCTGTTCCTGATTTAAAGCCGACCAGAGAGATGCTGTTGGGACAAGGCGGGAGGGCCCCAGCCCACCTCCACCAAGCCCTCGTCCTTGGGCTCCTGTCCCAGCCTGTCCCACCCACCTCAAGGCCCCATCCGGAGTCCCTACTGCCCCTCTGGCTTCCTCTTTCCCTCGCCATGCTTCTCTTTCCCGTTGGCCTGGTCCCATGCAGTCATGTATGTTAAGGTATTTAGGAACTGGTCATGCACTGTATGTTGGATAGAACTAGCCTCCACTTCTCAGTATTTCCTGGGTTCCTAGGCATGTGCTATTTTATATGATCTATTTTAATCAACTTAATTCTCACAACAAACCTATGAGAGAATTTGTATTATCTCTAACATATACATGAGAAATTGAGGAAAGAGCTTTAATAACTTCCTATTTTCACAGCCAGACATTTACACCTAGGCTTTTAGAATTTTGAAACCCATAAAACCATAATAACTGGCTGTGCTGTTAGTGTCATTATTAGTTTGTTTGTTTGTTTGTTTTGGTACTGGGGATCAAACTTGGGACCTTGCGCTTGCAAGGCAGGCACCAGAACCACTGAGCTCAATCCCCGGCCCAGTGTCATTATTAGTCATAATTACTGCTAATAGTTAATGTAACAAAGATAAGATGACTTGACTCTTAAGACCTGAGCTGTCTATCACTTGAGTTGTTTGCCTTGCACATAATAACCAAATGCAATTTCCCCTGAAGATTAGCCAGACAATCCGGAAGCAGTGACCAGCTGTATCAGATGATAACTTTCCATGCCCACCACCCTTCTAAACACTCTTTGGTACCACACAAGCTGAGACCTAGAAACTACATTTCCCAGAGCTCCTTGCCAGCGGGGATTTGGTTGGCTCTCAGTGAGAAATCTTGATGTGAGATTTGGAAGAGGAACATAAAGTAGCTGTGGGTGTCTTGGTGCCCTCTTGAGTGCACATCCACATCCATGGGGGCTTCCAGTTGTGCCAGCTCTCCTGAGCTCCCTTGGGAGAGAGGAGCAGTAGTCCCAATCTTTGATCTCATCCCTCCCAAGGGTTTTATTACCCACTATCTCCTTATGTTAAATTTATTTGCAGCCTGAAATGCCTAGGATAGCTTCTGTTTTCCCAATTGACACATTATGCAAGGTAATGATCGAGTATGAAGAAAATTAAAGCAATTAGAAAACTAATATAAGGCCTGGGGTTATAGCTCAGTGGGAGAGTGCTTGCCAGGCACGTGTAAGGCCTTGGGCTTGTTGTCCAGAGAGACAAACAAACAACAACAATTAATAAACATTGATTTCCTACTATATTCAAAACATTGCTTTTTGATGTTGGAATAGCAACATAAATAAATAATCCTTTCCCTTGAAGAATTTATGGTATTATGCTTATAAAATATTCACTGAATAAATGACTACAAACAAAGAGAGAAAGAGAAATTTAGAAACATTTTTACAGATGGAATAATAGAATAAGTCTGAATCAGAGAACAAGACATACCTGAGTTCATATTGTGTTTCTGTAATTACCTTACTGTGTAACTTTGGACCATCATTGCAAAACCTCTTAATATGTTACCTTTAGTTTCAAACTCTGGAAGCAAAATGGATTTGAGACTTGAGTGGACTAAGGTTGACCAATCCTTAATGGTTATTGACACTGGGCAATATTTTCCAGCTATGAAATGGGTTTTTAAAATACCAAAATTAGTACATGACAGGAAGCAAAATTTTTCAGTTCCTGAGCAGCAATGCATTTAATGACTATGGCCTAGAATGGGATTTTTCTTTTTAAAATCTTTCTTCAAACATCTAAGAAAGTCTGTGGTTGCTGGCCTTCAAGATGGCCTCCAATATGGCCTCCAACAAGGCCTTCAAGATGGCTTCCAAGATGGCATCCAGTGAAACCATTTCCTCACTTATTGGACAAATATTGAACTTCTTCTACAATCCAGGCACTGGGCTAACTCAAGAAGATGAGGTCCTTCAGAAGGGAGGAAAGAGACAGATACACAGATCCCTGGAGTCCCCCACACAGCCCTGCACACCCACATGGGCACAAGATCCACAGAGAGGATTTTGTGGCCACCTCAGGCAGCTGTGCAGCAGCCAAAGTTTGGTTACCAGGGCTAGGAAGAGAAGAAAGAGAATAGGAAACTGGGGCTGGAAAGAATGCTGATCTGATCT